CCATAAATAAAATGTGGGTGAAGCCAAAAAAATGTTGGTTGAGTTCTTCCACCATTCCTCGTCTCATTCAATGATCTTTTCTTGGAACATAGAGTTGACGACGCCAATAATCATTAAACATATGTCCGTGTCTTCGACTACTCATCACAATTTCAGACGGAATGTACAGGTGTCGACCAAACACTGTTATGCAAATTGACACATAAAAAGACGTCTTTGATTGTCACTGTACTTTGAAAGATATATTTGATTGCTCACTATACTTTTAAAGACTTCTTTGATTTCTGAGTATACTTTAATATGGTTGAATTTTAGCCACTAAACTTGTAAAATTGATGACAGCTTGTCCTGCAAATATAAGAATGTTGTTTCAAGTATCATTTATATACAACAAAATTTAATTTTTTTTTTTTTTTTAATGGGTGCTATTCGGTGGAGACTTATCTAGCTTGCTATGAAAACATAATCACATGAACAGCTCTTTTTTGTGGCCAACTGTAGATGCTCCTCCAATTGAAGCTCTTAAATGCGTGTAAATTAAAGGGAAAGATACAAAAAGGAGAAGGGACTTTTTTTGACTAATGACAGAATTCTGGTGAATTGGAGGTGTTCGCTCCATTTTTTTTATTGATGACAGAATTTTGGTGGACTTTTTTTATATGTAGTTAGTAGTAGCAAATGTTTTCATTGATGCATATAATTATGGTGGATGTTTTTGGCCATGCAAGCCGCTCGTCAGCTCGAGTGAGGTAGCTCCCCAAATTGAAAAAGAACGTGCAATTTCAGTAACAAAAAAAAAAAAATTAAGCGAGTCGAGTTCGGCTATAGATGAGCCAAGCGACTTAGCTCGTCCCATTTAACATCTATAGGTTAGAGTTTCTCTCAATTGCTGATACATAGGAAACATGTATGCTCCTTAGGCCTCTTAGGAATCCTTACTTTGCCACATGGTTTTGTCATTTTATATGGATGTAAGATGTACCATATCGAAATCAACTCTTCAACTTGATTTGAATGAAAGGCATTATGTCATATTTCACTATTTAATTTTATTATTAACAGAAAATTTTAGTAACTTACTGCGCTTTCTTAATAAAATTTTGAACAATTATCTACGAATTTGCAAGGTGTTATTTGAACTCTTTGAAATATGTAAATTATGTGAAAGCTGGTCACTCGACCTCTTTTCTATAATATTAAACACTATATACCTAGGATTTCAAGCCTCAACAAGCTGTGTGGGAGTTAGAGGTGGCAATGGGCCAAGCTGTATGCGCACAAGTTCGGCTCGTGGACCGAGCCAAACTTCGGCTCGCGAGCTCATCATTTTTTTTTCAAGATAAACATTTAAAAAAATGATAAACCCTCCGCCTTGAACAAACCCATGAGGCTCGTTGGCTCGCCCGTGGGCAGTTAGCGAGTCAGCCTGCTTGACGAGCCTGAACCGCCCACGAGCAGACTTTTGACGAGCCAAGCCAAAGAGCTGCTCAACCCGTTTGCCACCACTAGTGGGAGTATTCTTAGTGATAGGTTATTAAATTACTTGTCGGTTTTTAGAAATTGCTACAAGATTGACACGTTTTGATCCCTTAATTCAATTATCAACAGGTGAAATCTAGTTGACTTAAGAATTATGATACTTGTACACAATGAAGTTACATAATGATTTAGATACAGATAAAGCATCAAAAAGAGAGTTGAGAAGTTTTATTGTTTTTATTTAGTTGAAGAAATTCTGACGCCAATCATATCTCACCACATTATTTATACGTAAACCATTGTTTAAATCATTACTTAATACCCCCTTCGTGAGAATTAGATCCAACACGCTGGTCGAATATAATTTTAATCACTTTTAGAAGATAAAGTTAAGCCAAGAAAGAGAGTCCAGAAAAAGTTCAAAGAAACTGATGCAGCGGAAATTAAAAGAATGTGACTAACACATCAAAAGCTCATTCGTTCGGTTGGATACCAAAAACTTAGGCATAAGATATTCTTTTATTTCCTTTTTATCATGCAATATTATTGGAGGTATGTCACTACAGAAAAGTGGTTGGATTTAGTACATTGCTTTGAGCAAAAAAAAAAAAAAAGAAAAAGAAAATTCTTCTATCTGAAGATTATAAAAAATTGATTATTCTATGACACAGTTCGAGATGCTTTAGTTTTCAGACTTAACGTGGAAGCACTGTTAACTGCAAGTAATTGCATAAATGTAAAGCACTGTGACATAAAAAAAAAAAAAAAGTTTAAAATAAACAAATTATTTATGGATTAAAAGGTGAAAATAAGTTACAATGTAAAAATTGCTCTTGAAATGTGGATTTTTTATATTTAAAAATAAGTAACGTAGCGTGATGAAACAAGTTTCCTTGCCGTGGCCAAACATGGTCCATTGAAATGTGCATAACTTTGCTCAAAATTAAGAATATATGACGTTATGGCCTTTGCTTTTGGACTACTTTGGAAAGTTCAATTTTGCATGCATGAGATTCATTTTGCTTTCACGTCACTAAGATATTTGTATTAAAAATTCACATACGGTCGAAATTTCATAACTTTTAAATAATTTTTCGGGAAAATTGCGGCCGTGGTCCCAAACCTTTCATTTTGTTGCAGATTACACCCAAACCTTTTATTTTTGCGGCTGAAGTCCCAAACCTTTATATATAGTTGCAGCGTCGGTCCCAAGCCTTTAATTCCGTCTATAAAACCGCCAGTCAACGTTTCAACAGTAATTTTGACTCGAAAAAATTGCAGCGCTAGTTCCAAACCTTTCATTTTGTTGCAGATTACACCCAAACCTTTAATTTTTGATTATAGCGTTGGTCCATTTCATGCATTTCGTCCATAAAATCATCAGTCAATGTTGAAACAGCAACGCTAATCCCAAACCGGCAAAAGTTTTCACCGATTCATTTTTTTTTAAAAAAATGAAAAATTGCAACGCTAATCCCAAACCGGCATGTTTAAACAAAGTTTAGGCATAGATATTATTAAACCTTTTATTTAGAATACTGTTTCAACGTTGACTGATGATTTTATGGACGAAATGCGTGAAATGGACCAACGCTGTAATCAAAAATAAAAGGTTTGGGTGTAATCTGCAACAAAATGAAAGGTTTGGGACTAGCGCTGCAATTTTTTCGAGTCAAAATTAATGTTGAAACATTGACTGGCGGTTTTATACACTGAATTAAAGGTTTGGGACCGACGCTGCAACTACATATAAAGGTTTGGGACTTCGATCGCAAAAATAAAAGATTTGGGTGTAATCTGCAACAAAATGAAAGGTTTGGGACCACGACCGCAATTTTCCCTAATTTTTCAAAGAATGGGAAGCATTTTGCGTTCACGTCACTGAAAACTATTGATTAATGTTCTAATATTAAAATAGTATATATTTACAAAAGATAAAAGAGTTCACAAATAATATGTGGGTATCGGTGCACATATTATATTTTAATAAATAATTAAAAATTGTAAAATCCAGGCCATTGTAATTGAAGTTTAGATGGATGAATGTATGTCATTATCATTAAATAAAATAGTTGGATTTAGATCATGTTTCACTATTAAGTTTCAAAATCTGAAGTACAAATAAATTATTTTTGCATTACTTTTAAGTAGTTCGTTTTTTTCCAAAATATGTATTCGAATAAATTATACTTTAAGTAGTTTCATGCATATTTCGCTGAAATATATATATTATGGGGTCTTGAATAAATCACGGCTTGTTAGTTGGAGTAACAGTAGACAACCTTTTTTGTAGCAAAAGTTTTCACCGGTTCTTAAGGAAATATGTTGATCAAGCAGAAACTATTAGAGGGTTTCAATTGATCATTTACGCGGAATTATATGGTCTTCTTGAACAGGCCTTGTATTTCGTAGATAATATCGATGAAGCTACTGCGAAAGTAAAGAACTTTGAAATGGATTATGAGAAAATGTAAATTAGAGAGAATATCTAATTAAAAAGTGAGATATAGAAATAGAGCAGCAGCTTTTCTTAATTTTTCAGTAGTTTCTCTTGAACTTTTGATTGCAAATGCAGCAGTAATATACAAAGGCTTTGAAAGTTTTGTTCAACCATATATTCCACATTTTGATGGTCATTATTGTTGTGGTATAATGACCTTAATTCCATGAGAATTGGGGGTACTACGCCAAAAAAGGCCTTTTGCAACAGTCAAAAAACGCTGTAAAAGGCCTTTTGCAACGTTTTATCATGTATTGCAAATTTCAGTGTTGTCCGAGAGGAAAGAGATACGGCTACGTTTAAAAAACGCTGCAAAAAGGTCTTTTGTAGCGTTTTTTAAACGTTAAAAAAGACAATTTTTGCAGCGTTTAAAAAACGTTGCAAAAAGATCTTTCGCAACATTTTGCAACGTTTTTTAAACATTGCCTTTTTTTTTTTAACAACAATTTATGTAAATTGAATAGTAAAATTGAAAATGAATCTTTGTGAACAAATTTTGAAATTGCATAAAAATTGATAATTTCATTACAAATTTCTGAAGCAATACACTTGAACATTAGAATGTAATATAACTAGAGAAATCTAGCTAACTCAATATTACATAATGCTGCCAAAATTCAGAAATGATTCTGACCATACTCATAATGAACAAAGGAACTCACTTGTTGACTAACATCTTGATATCTTTCCTGTCCATGTTTTCTTCTTCACCAATATGTCTCCATGGCTTGGAGCCTGCAACACAGTAGTGGTGTGCAAATGGAATGTCCATACCCAGAAGCATTTGCTTTGTGGCAACCAACAGTATACTCAACAACATAACACCATAAGCACGAGCACAACATACTTTGGTATAAAGTGGAATATATAGATTTTGATATTTGGCTTCAAGTGCTGCTCTCTCCTTGAATAGTTGCAATATGATACATTCATACATTACACTCACTAGTCCTTCTTTAACTTAAGAGTGGAAAAAAAGTCATCTCTACTTGCTTCCACCGGTATCATCTCTACTTGTTCCCTAGCTACCAACTGATCCGGTGTTGGCAACCATTTTCTCATCAGTTGTGACAGCACCCCACAATGAATTCTGATTTGGAGTTACTTTAATCTCCCAAGCAGAACATTTTGTGCCTGCATCATAATGCAAGAAAAGCAATATCATAGATACATCATAGGATGCAATACATAATATTTTAGATATATCGTGCAAGTTTGTATTCATTTTATTGACTAGGCATCCTAAATCAATTACACTATTTTGACAATGAAGGCTGCAGGTCTTATATTCTCAGACTCACCATGAATTATTGGTTGAAGATTTCCAAGTCTTAGATTCTCAGACTCAATTGATTCTATCTTAAATCTCCCTATGTACTCTGCAAATATAGGCTCTACTGTGCTTCTAGTTATGCTATGACTGGCCTGTACATCATGCATTAGATGAAATACACCAGCTCGGCCAAGTAACTGAAATCCCATGGTTATAAAAATACCTTGTCAATGAAAGGCCACATATGTAAGATAATAGGGCTTTTGCTTATTTTAGAAGAGCTTCCTTATCTTAGACTAGATTTCTCTAAAAGCTCTTCTAATAGAACAAAACACTTCTAAAAATTAGCCAAACATGCTAAAAAGCAACTTCTTAGTCTCATAAACAAATTTTGGCTTTTCAAAAGCCCTTCCAAATGGCCCTTACTCTACTACTTTTAGATATTCCATTTGCTATCTAATTTAGTTTCCACATAGCATGATAGAAACAACAAAGTTCCCTTCACAATAAAATGAAAAATGTTTTACGTCGTTGCCCTCTTTTAATAGCGTATATAATTGGCGACTTGTCGAGCATTCTATGACTTCCATAGGTTTCTATCAATTCTCCTTGCACACTTTTGATAACTAATGGATAAAATTATATTGAACTTTCAAAAAAAATTCATGTTATCCACTAAGCTTCATCATCTTCAAAATTAGCCATCAACCAGGAGAATAAAAGTCAATTATAAACAATCTATCACCAGCATTTAACAAAGAACCAACAAGTTATTGTGCAGTCGGCGCAATTGTAGAGGCAAAGCTCTTGCAAAGAGGGGCAAATCAGGAAATCGAGGGAGGAATCATCAAGGCGTGTGCAATCCACCTTTAGGCTCCTCGAGTATGGGTTTGAAGGTAACAAAGGTCTCAACAAATCCATCAACGGCGCTATATCCAGAAAATAAAACCAAAATTGAAACATATAAACCGAAATCTAGGGTAAAAGAAAAAAAAACCCATACCAAGTATATGATTATATCTTACAAAAAGGTGGAAGGTGGGGACGAAAGACAGAATGTGGGCGACGCAGGAGCGGAAGGTCTTACACGTGGATGCGAGTGAATGGATGGAGCGGATGTCAAGCTTGGTCATGATGGTGGCTATGAAAGCGGAGGGGAGGAGCTTCATACTCGGTAAGAGGGAATTTTGGTCGGATGAAGACGCCATTTCATCTTAGCAGAAAGGTAGAGTTGAGGAAGAAGAGAGGAGAGGCGGAGCGAGATGAGGAAAAGCTAGGGCTTGATTTAAAGGGGATGGGGAAGTTTTTGCAATGTTTAAAACAAAAAACGTTGCGAAATCGTCGAAAAAAAATTCGAAAAGCATTTTTTGCAACGTTTAATAAATGCTGCAAAAAGTTTATCTTTCAGCAACGTCTAATAAACGCTGCAAAAGACACTTTTTTGCAACATTTATTTACAAAATGTTGCTAAAACTCAACTATACTAATCAATTGCAACATTCACTTATCAAAATGTTGCTATATACCCCTTTTACAACATTTAACTATCAAATGTTGTCTTGTATGTGTTGCGAAAACTCATTTTTGGCGTAGTGGGATTTGATTGATAAAGGAAGCCTAAATAAGTTTGGTTGGGAAGTCCGATTTGAAAATGGGATCCAATTCCATCAAAGGTTGGGAATTTGATTGGAAGAACTTTCGAATAGATGAAAAACACTTTTGGAGCCAACAAATTCGGAGGCAGAAGCTAAGCGCCAGCTCAGTGGCGCCTAGGCGCCACCTGTTAGGACATAATCTGATTTTTTCGGCAGTTATTGTATTCTACTTCATTAAAAACACCAAAATTAGGCTCTTATATATAGTCCACGTGAAATAAAATAGAAACTCGTGAGAATTGTTGGATTTAAATTGAGAGTATCAAATCTTGTAAAACGGTTCAGTTTCTTGATTAGTGGATTTTCCTCCTCTACCCGTGATTTTTTACCATCTTGGATTTCCACATAAATCTTGGTGTTCTTGTGTGTTTGTTTATTTCATCTTTCCTTTATCTTGCACTTTATTAAGAACAATTATGATTATTGGACACACTCTTGAAAATTTTCTTGAGGTCGAAGAAGTATTGTTAGGTTGTTGAGTTTGGGATAGCACAATCAATGAATCAACAGTTGATGTCGTGCTGACTGGTGAGCAGAAAGCTGAAATTTGTTGCTACCATGAAGATGAAATTTTGAAAATATAAGGAGGACTTGTCTATATTATTCCATCTACCTATAGTTATGAACACTCGTATTAACTTATATAGTTATAAATGTATTAACATTTGATATCTACATTACACATTGTGATAGAGAAAGTACATTGGGCAATTTATATTCACTATATGCTGCCAATCTCGGTAGAAATAATGATCCACAACCAACCCCCTATTACAATTTCGTGATGTATGAGCTTAAACACAACTACTGCGGGATGTTCATCACTTTCCATTTTTCTTCTACTACTAATAATAGTGGAAAATGAAATCTCGCGTATAGTTAGCTATTATTTCTCATACTATATTCTTAGTGTTTAAATCGAGAAGAGATAAATAATTTAGATTTTCTCAGATGGTACATGATCCATTAACGCCTTCGGTGTCAATTGTAGTATTGGAGGTTGCATTTATTTCAGTCGGGCGGGTTGTGGCCAACGGAATTGAAAGAATATATGTTTGAAACTTTAATGTGCTTTAAAGAATGTCAATATACAAACTGTCGAATATAAAATACGATGGCTGGTGCAATTACTAAAAATGTTTTACAATTATATTCTTCCAATTTTTTTTTGGTATACTAAGTTTTAAATTTATTACTGTACTTCAATATTTTATTTTTTTAAAAAATCAATTATACAAAATATTTGTTCGTGTACATTTTTTACTCCCCATATATATGTGGTCGTCTCAAGCCCGGATAAAGGATGATGAGTTGCAAAACTTTATAATTATTTTGACTAAACATATTTTTTCAGTTTTGCTATTTCCTTATAAATTTAATACATATATTTCATGGAGTGAAAATGAAATTTTCAATTCAATTTAAAAAAAAAAAAAAAAATTTTTTTTTAGCTGACTAGACTTGTCCCACCAAAGGGCTAGCTCATGGGGCAAGCCGAACTCACTACTGATGAAGCCAGACAGCTTGCACTCAACTTGACCCACACACGAGCATACCCGCATAGTGGAAATGGGTGAGTCAAGCTGACTCGACTCATTGACATCCTTACTTTCACCCCAATCCCATTTGTATCTCTCTTCTCTCTCACCAGCTAACTCTTAAAAAAACTCACGTTTCGTTATCAATTAAAACAATTTTTAAAAAAATCCCATGTTGAAAACCCCATCTCCACCACACCTGCTCAGCTTGAAGAGCATCAAAACCCTAATCATATTGTCATAAAATAATTTAGGATAGCATCGAATAGCTATCAAACTTCGATAGACATCCTATCAACTTATGTGGTTACACACTTTGAATTAGTCTGCATAATTATACAACTTGAAGCAAGGGACTATATCACATTAGACGTTTGTTAGTCACATGCAACCAAACATATTTGCAACTGAAGATTTATACCTAATTTTTGTAATTCTTTAATATCATAAAGGCGAAAATAAAATGCATGTAATGGGAAAGTTCAAGATAATTTAACCAAATTTATTCAATGTAAACTGGAAACTCAACATTGAGATTCGAAATATCTATTCGATCAAGGGCTGAAACCATCATCCCCAACAACTTGATCTTTTCCATGCCCGAACCAGTCAGCCATTTCATCATCATCATCAGACCCAAAAAACTCATTCTTTACCTGAATCGAATTGAATTCACCAGCATTTTCCCTTGCACGGGAAGCAATTCTGCTTTTGCCAGCCATTTCCATTTTCCACATCTCTTGCTTTTGCACATTACGGGACAAATCACTCTTTCCACCAATGACCGGAAATTCAACATATTCAGGCACCTGATTCCATGAGTTTGAACCAGCGTGATATTTACCGTGACTTTCTACAAATTTCCGTGAATTAACACCTTCATCCCTACTTAGTTGCCCAAACCAATTCTGCATCTGATGATTGTTTACAGCATTACTTACAGGCTGAGAGGAATTGCCAACAGCATGTGATGCTATCGGTCTTCTGTGATCGCATTTCAGACATAACATGTTTCTTCTGAAATTGATGTAGTTGCACCTACAAAATGAACCTAACTGTAAAAAGAGTTGACCATAAAGCATTCAGGATGTATATCATATTCATCAGATTAATATTGGAAGTTCTTAGCTTGATTGTGAAATCACTAAAAAGTATAGGCATAGGGTCTTACGATTCACATTCCCATTCCCCAGGATTAAGTTGCCTCTTTGGAGGCTTCTCTTTACACTGCAAACACCTTGTATTTCTAGCAAAATTCAAAAAATTGCATCTGCAAAAGATAAATCTCATGAGAAATAAAACAAATACTAGCTAAGCTACCCTATCTGAAACGACTAACAGACCAGGGACAAACTTAATTCATTGAATTATTACTTATCACACATCCAGTCTCCCTTCTTAGGTGGAAGATGATCCTGTGCTTCTGATAACTTTCTTAGTCTTTCTTGAAATAAGCCATCACAACGTAAACACTTGACATTCCGAGCAAAATTTAGGAATTGGCACCTAGAAAATAATTGAAATTTTATTAGTAGTCACACCACAGCAGAAAAAGGATAATGTGAACTTCAGAGCATTTACTTGGGGCAAATCCAGTCGCCTTGCTTCATTGGAACCTGGTTATGGATCCTTTCTTGTTCAACATCATTTCCTTCTATAGATGAGTCCCATTTAGAGGTAGTCACTCTCGGCGGTTCAGCATCACATTCCTCAGCCCTCAAGTCCATCATTTCTTTCAACAATTTTCTTACTGATTCCTTAACCCTTTTGTTCAAGCATGGCTTATTCTCCACCGAGCAATATACAGGATCAAGCCCATATGCCAACACAAAGCGCATGACATCCACAGTCCTACCACCTTCATCCTCACGTGCCATGACATATGCCCTTTCGCAATCTCCCCTTAATATGCAGGAACTGCATGCCTACTAAAACAAATGCAAAGCATCTTAAACCAGAGTGATATTCAAGCATAAAGAGAGACCAATGGTATAAATAGAACATACATTTCCTTCATCAACTCCCACATGAGCTCTTAGACGTTTTCCAGAGTTAACAACTTTCCTATCTGTACTTGGGCATCCAGATGCTGCAACCACCAGAATATCTTCCCGAGACAAGTATCTAGCAAAATAAGCAATATTAAGCATTGTAAGTTGCAAACTTTTAAAACTCTGGTAATAGGTTATTTAAGTAATTAACACTTGATAAAATTGATGAAAGCTAATTAATTAAAGAAGTTATTTGAACCACACATTAAAATTATAATTCATTTTTCTCTCTCTTCTTATCGACCACACATTCTCCAATAAAATAATATTACACATAATCCCAAAACTTTTTCTTATTTTTAACCACACATTTTTCAGAAAAACATTATTTCAACCATTAAAATTTCAAATAATGGGAGCCAAATGGGACTAAAATTAAAGTCTACTGACTTTGCATTAAAAGCCAATCCTACTTTTGAACTCATTAAATTAAATGAAAAATAAATAAATAGAGAGTGGTTATAAATTTTTCTATAAATAGGACCAAGGTCCATGAAAAATCACAAGTTAAGTGCACAAGAAAATCACAAAGTATAGGAAATGGAAGTGCATGAGAAAATCCAAAGTCAGGAAGAGGAAAAGAAAAATCTCTTAAGTCCAAGTCCGGGAAATTCTACAAATATCAAAATCTTCTTCAAATTCAAGCAAGTTCAAGCCAAATCCAGAGGATTAAAAACAAAGCAAATTCAAATCAAGCCCTAAAGTTCAAATACTAGTCCCATAGTTCAAGTCAAGTTCAACTCTCAACCAAGTCAATTTCTCAACAAATCAAATCTCCAACAAACCTTGAAGTCAAGGATTCAAGCCATGTGATCGCTCGTCCTCAAACACGCAGATTGTTAATCAGAAAACAGTCACAAGAATATCAACCTACAGTTTATTTCACAAAAAATCAATTTGTAACCATTTTTGTGTATTTTATACACGAAATTTGTCGTATAAGCATAAGAAAGTTTACTTATTTCTTTGAGAACATGTATGGGCATAGATTAGCAATTCACCCAAGAAAATTGTGGTGCAAATTTTTTCTATGCTCTGGTGAAAAAGTTCAAAAAATCTGCATAATCCCCAATCATCTTCGCCACGAGGAAATTAACCATCAATGTGATTTGCAATACCTGCATCTTTAATCAAAAACTACTGTCTTTGCAAATAAATATTTCACAGTCCTTGTGACAAACAGATCATATGCATTTATATAGCACAGTCAGAAAATAAAAACTAATAAAAATAAAAAAAGCATTCGCTTTCGAGCAACTCATACAAGAAATAGTTACACAAAGCAGCATATAAGAACGACCGAAGCACAGTACCTTATAAGATGACAGTTGTCTCGGGCAAAATTCAAACAAGCAGTCCTTATTACATTTGCCTCTTTGGGACCCATTTCATCTTTACTCCCAAAAGGGTTTCCAATTCCCTCAAAATACCCATTCTTCAATAGCTTTTCCATTAAGTTCACCCATTCAGGCCATGGATGCGAAATCTGAAACTTAGAAGTGTCGCCACGATTTTTAAGTGGCAATATTTTTTCCCCATTTTTTGCAGATAAATTGGTCCGGATTCTTGAGCTTGGAGGTTTCGAATTTCCACATTCTTGAGCTTCATCTAGGATAAATTGAATTGCAGGGTTAGAGAGTGAAGATTTCTTTGAGGCAGGACTGTGCAAAAACGAAAGACGTGGATGAAAACTGGGGTTTCGAAGATGGGATTTCAGGGTTTTGAGGTAGAAATTTGATTTGAACATTATTTTAGCACATAATCATTAAATTGAATTAGGAATTTGATAGAAAATAGAACTAGAATATGTTATGGGGAGAAGACTGACAACAGAGATCAGTTGGGGGGAACATTAACCGACCGAATTTCATTTAAAAGAGGGAAGGGAATGTCCAGCAATACGGGATCGTTTCAACTGTACGTTTTATTAAACTTTGGGGAATTTACAAAATACACCTTCTGTTTGAGGTGCATTTACATGTTAACAGGCAAGAACAAATGGAAATAATGATGAAGAAGGATATGAACAGAAGGTGAATAGGAAGCGTAAAGTGGAAGCTTATACCCTTCTAATTGCAAAAATCGATTCATTGACGAAGAGGTTAGATGGGATATCTACTGCTCAATTAGTCGGTTGTGAAATTTGTTGAGAGAAATCACCGGACAGTCAAATATCTATTGTCATCATTAATCCATAACGGATTGAACAAGTTGTTTATACTTAGAACTTTCACCGTCAATAAAATAATATGTATTCTCTTATGCATAATCCGGGTTGGAGGAATCATACTAACTTCTCCTAGAACTCTTCGAATATTGGAAGGTTATAGAACAAGAAATGGATGGAAGGGAATGAGCAATCTAAGCCCCCGTTTGGCCCCCTTTTTTTCATTCATTTCATTTTCTTGGGTCAAGAATTGTAGGTGGCTGGGACCCACCATTAACTTTGCTGCAACGTCCAGATAAATGTAATGATGCCTCCGAATTTCTTATTTTTTAAACTCACAATTACGTTAATAAAATGACGATAATGCCCCTACTTTTTGACAAGGTTGAACGGGAAAATGACGAGGTGAGGAAGAGAGCATTTTCGTCCATCTATTGCCAACGGTAATAATGGTATGGCTCACCTCTGACACGGGATTGGAATGTTTGAAAATGTTGTTGACATGTTCTTGTCTTGAAAAGTGTAAAAATGAAATGAAAGGGAAAAAAAGGGAGGCCAAATGGGAGCTAAGTATCATGAGAAGAAAAACACTGGTATGCAAAACCAAAATGCAACTATAAAGAGCTGGGAGAACCAAATAGGTTTAGATAGTCAAGCTACTTCCAAAGTGAACGCAAGGTGCACTTCCCAACAACGCTAAGGTGATTGGGAACAAACGGGTAAAAGCCAACTCCACCATAATCAGGCTTGAATTCACTATGCCAAAAATGAGCTTTCGCAACATATAAAAAACATTCGGTAGTTAAATGTTGCTAAAGAGGTCTACCGCAACACTTGAATAAGTGAATGTTGCAATTGGTAAATAAAATTGAGGTTTAGCAACATTTTTTAAGTAAGTGTTGCAAAAAGTGTCTTTTGCAACGTTTACTAAACGCTGCAGAAAGATTATCTTTTTGCAGCGTTTAATAAACATTGCAAAAGATAAACTTTTTGCAGTGTTTAATAAATATTGCGAAATGTTTCTTTAGCAACATTTATTAAACACTGCAAAAAGTTTATCTTTTGCAACGTTTATTAAACGTTGTTAAAGGCAACATATCTAGAATAAATCTTTGGCCATTTATTAATTTATTCGGCCCAATTGAAACAACCCCAAATCGATCTAGAATTCTAATTGAAACAACCCAAAATCGATCTTCGGTTTCACACCTAAAATTCCAATTGCCACAGCCCCAAATCGAGCTTCACGATTTCACCCAATTGCAGAGACGACTGCTGACCACCCACCATCGACCGACACCAACCACCCACCGTATTATAGAAACTTCTTTAAATAGCCGTGTAGAAGGAAGGAGCATATTTTTTCCATCTGCTGACTGCGTAGGAAGTCAATCGATCTGGAGGAAAATTGGAAATCTTACTGTGACTCTGTGCTTCAGCCTTCTCCCTTGAGGTACGTCAATTATAGATGAAATTTGAAGTCAATTTGAATCTAAACCCCCAACTATAGATGAAATTCTAGAACCTAAGAATGTATTTTCAAATTTCGCGATTGGTTTGTTAGGGTATTCCATTTGATTTTGTCTGTTCGGTGACCGATTCTTGGCCTCTTCCCAACTCCTAGAAGGCTGGAACCCAAGTCCTCATCTTCCGGCAATCTTCAACAGACAGCTGTCCGCTTTCAATATCTAGAACAAGGTAAGATAATCTACACACAGTTGAGTCATCAGCTAATTAATCCATGAGACTTCTCAATTCTCAATATTTCAACCTGGTGATTCTGTATGGTCCATGAAAAAAACCCTGAGGATATGCAGAATGTCACCTTGCTTAGGCCAACTTAAAACAATTGGTGAATACTATTCTGATTATGTTGGAAGGCAATAATAGGCATTAGATAGATTAAAGATTTCACATGGATTACTATCTTAATGTCATGATTCTCATCGTGTTAGTTTGTGTTTGATGTGGGAGATTTGGACAGCTATGGTATGCTGAGATTGATGTAGATGAAATATAGAATTGTACCAACTTATGGAATTTGTCAAAAGTATTCCTCTTGCACAAAGGTGATCAGGCTTTTTGGTATTGAAACTTGTTTAGTTCCCATTGTCAGCGTTTAAGTATATTATAATTATGTCGAGTCTTGAATAATCTTTTAACCTTGCATCATGGAGCCCCTAGGATGAAGAGAAGCAAGTATCATTTTTTGCAAAACCATAGTTTCTTTAGGAAGAATATTTTAATTTAAGTTCATTTTCTCTTACAAGATCTTGTTTTATTTTGTTTTTCAAATTGATCAGTTCTTACCTCTTGGAGTTGGAGATAATAGTAAATTTGTGACTTCATCGATTGTGGTTGTTGATGTAGAAAAAGTTATTTCTAAAATGTAATGCAAAATTCATCTTCATTGTCAACATGGAATTTTTTTCCATGTGTTGTAAGTAAAGTAAATGGACTCCAGCAACCATATCACATAGTGGAAAAATCTTCTATTTGCTTTACCTGTAGACTAGTCTCGTAGATTTTAAATGGAAAGGGTATTGTACTCCACCTCAACAAAGAAAAATAGGTAAAGGAAAATAATGAACACTTAAGCTGTAAGGTAGAGAAGATATGCAACTTTTGGAAGTTGATAAAGTGTATAGACTCATGGGATCAAGTATTAAAAATTTACTGGATATTTTAATGTGGTTTGGCTGGTTTATAAAATTAGAAATGTTAGGTTAGTTATGGATTTTGGACAACCTATAATGGATATATCTCATAAATTTAGACCTTTAGGAATTCAAAGTGTTTATCACTCTAGAGTCTGCCACAACCTATAATAGACAAAGAATGGTTGCACTTATCAAGGTTATCATCTTAAGCTTATCTTATAAACCTAGTTGTCCAATAAAGAAATTAACGTATAATGATCATAAAGTTTAATTTGTAGATTTTCAGAACAATATCGAGATGGAGCACAGAATTTTGTTGAACGAGCTCGTAACTATTGTAATTCAGAAATGATAGCATGCCCTTGCATTAATTGTAGGAATCTAATGCATCATCATTATGATACAGTCCATGAACATCTGGTTATTAAAGGTATGGATCCTAC